CAGTCTGAAATACCACTTGATGATGGCCAAGGACACACACACACACACACACACACACACACACACACAGCTGATGCGAATTCTCCGCCCCCTCGTCAATATCAGGACCTCGTCAGTATTTCTTTCACCCTTTTATTGATGGACAGTGTTACATTGTGTGAGAGATTATTTGCTCCAAGTGAGAATGTTGAAATAAAAGTGTGAACACAGTATATGCCAATGTTGTTTTCAATAAAAAACATTTGCACAAAGCAAGCCGATCCACTTTTCCATGTTGATAAGAGCATTAAAATGATAAAAAATAATGGGACAAAAAGAAATCAAGAGACATTTAGAATGGATAAAAATGTGCGATTAATCGCGATTAATCGTGAGTTAACTATGACATTAATGCGATTAATCGCGATTAAATATTTTAATCGTTTGACAGCACTAGTAATAATACTTTAAAATCAATCCTAAATGTAACTGGGAGCCAGTGTAAAGATCTGAGGACTGGTGTGATATGTTCATATTTTCTGGTCCTGCTCAGAAGCCTGGCAGCAGCGTTCTGTATGAGCTGCAACTGTCTGATGGTGTTTTTAGGAAGGCCAGTGAGGAGTCCATTACAATAATCCACCCTGCTGGTGATGAAAGCATGAACAAGTTTCTCTAAGTCTTGACTGGAAACAAAGCATCTAATTCTTGAAATATTTTGATGATAGTATGCTGATTTAGTTATTGCTTTGACATGACTACTGAAACTAAGGTCTGACTCTAGAGACACACCAAGATTCCTGACTTGATTTTTAGTTGTTAGACCCCTAGCGTCAAGGTATGCATTCAACTTGAGAACTTCATCTTTGTTTCCAAACGCAATGACTTCAGTTTTGTCTTTGTTTAACTGAAGAAAGTTTTGGCACATCCAACCGTTGACTTCATCAATGCATTGGCACAGGGAGTCAATGGGGCTGTAGTCGTTAGGCGATAGGGCTAAGTAGAGCTGTGTGTCGTCTGCATAGCTGTGGTAAGAGATTTGGTTCTTTCTCATTATTTGGCTCATTGGGAGCATATACAGGTTGAACAGGAGTGGTGGAAGAATTGAGCCTTGAGGGACAAAGAATGAGAGATTAAAAGAATGGCTTTTTGATTGTTTGGATTTATTTACAACAAAACATTATCTAAAGATTCATAACGAAGGACAAAAAGGCACATTATTAAACACATTGATCTAAACAGAGAGACTTTCTGCCATCCCTGAAACAGTTCCTGTTCAACATACCTGTCTTTTCCAAGGTGTTCGCTTTTTTCATTTGACCATGTTCATGTAGAGACTCATGTGAATGTTTAAGTCAGCAGGACTCATCGGTGGCATCTGGTTCCTGTAAAAAAAAACCCCAAAAAACAACTGTGAACACGCCGATATCAGGAGAAACTATCGGGCTGCACGATTTGGGGAAGAAAATCTAAATGTGATTTTACTGGTTAAAATTGTGATTTAAAATTCACACAAAATTTTTTGTTTTATATATATAATGAACACCAGGTTTGTTGTGCCTTGTAGGCATATACTTGTAGGACTGCATAAAATAATAATAACAATAATAATAATTTTACTTTACAGAAATGCAGGCGGCCTATAACGATAAATCATTAAAAAGGAACACTTCAATACACTACACTAGAGAGACATATATGGATTATCATGTTACTTCAAATGTTTTCACTCATTATGACGTTATGAAATGAGATTGGAGTAAAATCATGTAGCCTAATGTTTGGTACGTTTTGCTTTTCAAATGCACAGCGTGAGTGACCCAAACTCACAGCACGTGCAGAGAACATTTACTGAAGCGATTGAAACATTATTGTTACCACATTATAAACATCTACGTTTGAGCAGATGTCCACGAACAGTGTTGAACAGTAAACACGGGTCTAAAAATTGTAATATTCATCATGTTAGTGTAAACACTCATACTGCTTTTATATCATGCTGTGTTTTATATTATCGAGCATAAAAACATCCTTGTGTTGTACATGTATATTTATTTAGCATTGAAAGGTTTCCTACCTGTCTATAGTTCATATTTCAATATGTTTCTGTCGATTTCATACATTTTAGTCTAGCAACAGTTTAAATAGTACAATGTGCAACAATGGAACAATGTCTTACCTTAAAAATCTTTCTTATCTTCAAACCATGTTCTTCCTCTTCTGAGGTAAATCCAAGGTAAACTCACAGTGTGTCTTCCAAACTCGATGAAAAGCAGAGGAAGCATGAAGTTTTGTTTTGAGGTAATGAGGGCGTTTACAGGTCCGCATTCCTTCACATGGACGATTAGCATGTGGATCGCTTGTGCGCGAGTGGATGTGGTCACATTAGAGGTAATGAGGACGCGCCTGAGAAACTGTACCTCTCGTTGCTTTCATACTGATTACTTAAACAGAGAATATTTGTTTTTGATATGATTTACATAATTTAGAAATAGACACTTCAAGCTTTGTAAAAACATATCTCTCATGTCTGTGTGGAAAGTATTCACTGAGTTACAGTTCATTTTCTGTCCCATTTCAGAATGAACTTCACACTGAGAGACGGCAGAATGCGCATCATGTTTAATTTCTTTATTTTACGAAAAGGTGGACATTTTGTTTTTATTATGAGTGTAAACAAATAAAAGTAGACATTTAACAGTTTTGAATGATGTATAACACTTGCCTGTATGACAAAAATCGACTGAGTTATTTCTTATCGCACTGACCCCAGGGGTTAATGAACATGAATAATTAAACCTAACCCTAGTTAACCATAACCAACCCACTCGTTCCAACATCCACCAGCTGAGAAATATCTATTCTGCACTTCCATTAGAAATGCTTAACTCTTGAAAGAATAATCTTGAATTCAAGTAAAAGATCATTAGTTCTGTTAATGCCGGCTTCCTTGTAGTTTTCTTGCACTTTCAGACAAGAGATGTGTGTGTGTGTGTGGGTGTGTGTTAAAGTGTGAATTTAAGTGTTGTGGTTGTGATTCTCACAGTGGGAGCATCTCAGAATAGCATCAGAGAGACCACAACTCTGCCCTACAAAGCAAAAAGGCAGTAACTACGCAGAGTGCAGAACAGAGAAAAATGACTTAAAAGTTATCCTGTCATCCAGCCTAAGTAGTTGTAGGTAGATTATTGGACATGTGGCTGTTTTGTTAATTTATATAAGCTTATTCTTTGTACATATCAATCCTCATATTTAATTTGATATTTTACCCCTATTTTGCAGTTACTGTATTCTTGCTTTGTATTACTTACAAAAAACGTGGCACCATACCAAGGGAAAAGGCAGTAACTACAGATTCTCCAAAAACTATTTTGCCACAACCTGGCCTCTGAGTCAATACACTGTGTTTGAAATAATTGGAACCATTTGGACAACATTTTCAAAAATTTTGTGTTGCGAAACTAGTGTTGGGGAGCGGGCGTGTTACGGATATGTGGTGTAAATTTTTAGTAATCAAAAATCATGTCTAATTAATTGAAATCATGAAACTTTTATTATAAACTATTATTAAACTTATGCAATATTTTAAAAACAAACATTTTTGGTCAAACAACATGCTGCACAATGAGCTTTACTGTTAAAATTAAAACATTAAAGAAAAATTGTGATTATTCCTTTAAAAATTAAGTTTTAATCTTAATTTATTTGTAGTGTTAGTATTATTATTACATTGAGACGTTTCTAAATTCTACTGTACAGCAGTAATATATTTCTTGTCAAGTTAAACCGAACTTTTATTTTGACGGGTTGCCGTGAAGACCGTGTCCTCATATAGGCAAAAAAGCAGCTCGATCGTCACACACGTGCTTCAGCGCGCGCGCGTGTGTGTGTGTGTGTGTGTGTGTGTGTGTGTTAGTTTGGTAGGAGAACAATTAGGGGAAACACTGCATCTCAAACTAAATTTGTGTGAATAAGTTAGAAGCGTGAAATTGCAAATGTTAAAACCGTCCCGTGAGGATGCTGCGAAATCAGCTATGTGTTCACCATGGCAACAGTAACTACACTGCGCAGCAACACAGTTATTTTTTGTTAGGTAAAACATAGCAAGAATACAGTAATGGATGTTACTGTACTCTTGCTTTGTTTCACTAGGGCTTTTTGCAGTTACTGTACAAACGACTACCATTTTTCTCCAAAACGACACACATTTGAGATAAGATGTTTTGTCACATAAGAAAGGATGCCTTGAATGTCATGAAAATGATAATAACTCATTTTTGACCAAAAATGCAGTTACTGCCTTTTTGCTTTGTAGGGCAGAACTACTCTTTCTCTCTCTCTCTCTCTCTCTCTCTCTCTCTCTCTCTCTCTCTCTCTCTCTCTCTCTCTCTCTCTCTCTCTCTCTCTCTCTCTCTCTCTCTCTCTCTCACACACACACTCTCTCTCACAGACAGACAGACAGACAGATACAGTGTTAGGATTCAGATTGTTTTGTGTGGGTTTGGTTGTTTTGTTTCTCTTTAAAGGTTTGATTGGTGATTGGGGCGTGGTCTGAGAACACCTGAATCCTGTCTTGGCTCCTATTTAAGCAACGCAGTGCAGCTAGTCGGGCGCTAGTAAGTTGTTGCTTGAGCAGTTTGCCAGATCGGTGTGTCAGTTTTGAGAATGTTACTTTTGTTTCATTCTTCTGTGTCGTCTCTCCTTAATGTCACATCATTGCGCCAGCTGTGACATACAGACAGATACAGACAGCCAGAGAGACAGACGGATACAGACAGACAGACAGGCAGACAGACAGGCAGGCAGCCAGAGAGACAGACAGACAGACAGACAGAGAGACAGACAGATACACACACACACAGACAGACAGATACAGAGAGATAGACAGACGGACAGACAGACAGAGAGACAGACAGATACACACACACACAGACAGACAGACAGACAGAGAGACAGAGAGACAGACAGATACACACACACACAGACACACAGATACAGAGAGATAGACAGACGGACAGACTCACTGGTAGATGTCTTTGCGCAGTACGGAGCGCGGCAGTGGATTATCAGCCTGAGGAGCGACGCTCACAGATCCAATCTTCAACACGACCGTGTCTTCCTTCCTGTGCTTCATCTGTGAATCTGAACACAAACACACATCATCATCCTCCTCCTCATCATCAGTGTGTGAGTGTGTGATAGAGTGAGACTCACGTGTGCTGCTGGTCGTGTCTTCCAGAGGGCAGAACACCCGGATCACGCTGGTGTTGAGGTAGATGAGCGGGAGGCTGCTGGAGGACAGCGAGTGTCCCGTCATCGGGTGTCCGGCGGAGACGCTCTCTCTGACGGGACGCAGCGGCGGAGGGGGGGACACGTGGAAGACCTGCGCCAGCCTCACCAGCAGGGGGCAGGACAGCACCAGGTCGAAGGGTTGCGCCGTGAGCAGGATCTCGTGCAGGTACTGCGGCGACCCGTCCGTCCCGTCCTCGCTCAGCCTCTGGGACACTCGCTCTTGCCGCGCCGTCAGCTTGTGCCGCACGTTCCGAGTAACGGCCTGCGTGTAGGTCACCGAGAGGAACCCGTGCTGCTGGTGCGAGACCTCCAGAGCCTTCGCCGCCGTCTGCCGGACACCAGAGGTCAGAGGTCATACGCGGTTCAGATTCGAGCGATCAACATCAACAGCTACAATCACACAAACTCAAAGCAGCATAAGAACAGAGTGAGCTGAGACTGAGCGACATCAATGCGTAATCAGAGAGAGACACGACTGCAGCGCTGCCAGCAACACTTCACAAACTCAACCGGCTCATGAGTCGATGAAGCTTGAATTCAACCATAAACCTCTTTAAACGAATACACTATATTGCCAAAAGTTTAGGGACGTCTGCCTTTAAATGCACATGAACTTTAATGACATCCCATTCTTAATCTGTAGGGTTTAATATGGAGTTGTACACCTTTTGCAGCTATAACAGCTACAACTCTTCTGGGAAGGCTTTCCACAAGGTTTAGTGTGTTTATGGGGATGTTTGGCCATTCTTCTAGAAGCTCATTAGTGAGGTCCAGCACTGATGTTGGACGGGCAGCTCTCAGTCTCCGCTCTAACTCATCCCTAAGCTGTTCTATCGGGTCGAGGTCAGGACTCTGTGAAGGCCAGTCCAGTTCCTCCACACCAAACTCCTCATCCATGTCTTTATGGTCCTGCTTTGTGCACTGGAGCACAGTCATGTTGGAACAGGAACATCCACAAACTCTTCCCACAAAGTTGGGAGCATGAAATTGTCCAAAATGTCTTGGTATGCTGAAGCATTAAGAGTTCCTTTCACTGGAACTAAGAGGCCAACCCCTGAAAAACAACCCCACACCATAATCCCCCCTCCACCAAACAACCCCACACCATAATCCCCCTCCACCAAACAAACCCATACCATAATCCCCCCTCCACCAAACAACCCTACACCATAATCCCCCCTCCACCACACCATAATGCCCCCTCCACCAAACAAACCCACACCATAATCCCCCCTCCACCAAACAACCCCACACCATAATCCCCCCTCCACCAAACAACCCCACACCCTAATCCCCCCTCCACCAAACAACCCCACACCCTAATCCCCCCTCCACCAAACAACACCACACCATAATCCCCCCTCCACCAAACAACACCACACCCTAATCCCCCCTCCACCAAACAACACCACACCATAATCCCCCCTCCACCAAACAACACCACACCATAATCCCCCCTCCACCAAACAACCCCACACCATAATCCCCCCTCCACCAAACAACACCACACCATAATCCCCCCTCCACCAAACAACCCCACACCATAATCCCCCCTCCACCAAACAACACCACACCATAATCCCCCCTCCACCAAACAACCCCACACCATAATCCCCCCTCCACCAAACAACCCCACACCATAATCCCCCCTTCACCAAACAACCCCACACCATAATCCCCCCTCCACCAAACAACCCCACACCATAATCCCCCCTCCACCAAACAACCCCAAACCATAATCCCCCCTCCACCAAACTTTACACTTGGCACAATGCAGTCAGGCAAGTACCGTTCTCCTGGCAACTGGCCAAACCCAGACTCGTTCATCGGATTGGCAGACAGAGAAGCGTGATATGCCATATGCAAACCCATTCTTGAGCTAATCTGAAGGCCACAGAAGTTTAGAGGTCTGTAGCTGTTGACTCTGCAGAAAGTTGGCGACTTCTGCGCACTGTGAGCCTCCTCATGCGCTGACCCGCTCTGGGATTTATGTGGCTGAGTTATGTGGCTGAGTTTCCCCAATTGCTTCCACTTTGTTATAATACCAATAACAGTTGACACTGGAATATTTAGGATTGAGGAAATTTAACGAATGGACTTATTGCACAGGTGGCCTTGGTGCTTAATTTCATACAACTGTGGCCATGGAAGTGATAGGAACACCTGAATTCAATCTTTTTGGCAATATAGTGTATGTTTTAAACAATTTTACATGTTGAACTGAAGTGTCTGAGACTTTAGCACAGCACTGTATCTGATATGTGACGGATGTCCTAGAAAGAAACTATGGTTGTGTCCCAAATGACAAACTCAACCGTCTAGTGCTCTAAAAGGTAATTTTGTTATCCAGCATCAGATTGATCAACGACTCATATATGCTAAACGGAATCTCTAGAGCCAATGAGATCTCACGTCACGTGTGATTGAGCTTCTGTTTATGTTCACCGATCAAACTTTAAATGTAAAAAAGCCTTAATGAAATGTGCTGATCATATAAAGCGAGCGTGTCTCTACAGAAGATTAACAGGAGTGTTGCTGGCGAAGAAGCATCTAGAAGCAGCGTGTGTGAATCAGAAGCAGTGTGTGTGTGAATCAGAAGCAGTGTGTGTGAATCAGAAGCAGTGTGTGTGAATCAGAAGCAGTGTGTGTGAATCAGAAGCAGTGTGTGTGAATCAGAAGCAGTGTGTGTGAATCAGAAGCAGTGTGTGTGAATCAGAAGCAGTGTATCAGAAGCAGTGTGTGTGAATCAGAAGCAGTGTGTGTGAATCAGAGGCAGTGTGTGTGAATCAGAAGCAGTGTGTGTGAATCAGAAGCAGTGTGTGTGAATCAGAAGGAGTGTGTGTGAATCAGAAGCAGTCTGTGTGAATCAGAGGCAGTGTGTGTGAATCAGAAGCAGTGTGTGTGAATCAGAAGCAGTGTGTGTGAATCAGAAGCAGTGTGTGTGAATCAGAAGCAGTGTGTGTGAATCAGAAGCAGTCTGTGTGAATCAGAGGCAGTGTGTGTG